AGTGATATCACTTAAGCGGGATGAAACGTAAAACAGAATTCTGACTGACAGTATTGATGTTCAGCTTTAAGATATACAAAGTTTTAGTAAAAAGAGAATAAATGTATAAATGGTTTAAGGACATAGATGTACAAACATCCAGAATATTACTATCATGTATACGACTGTAGCAGACATGAAGATTGTGTTTCATAAGGACACCGATCCTTGAATGAATTTCAGTGAAATAATATTTTTGTATCATGTATATATATTTTTTTTATTTTTTATATTCATGAACACAACAAAGGCAATCTTTCGAAATATCAGACATCGTGGAAAAAAGTGTATTCTGTTGTGTTAGACGATCCTAGCTAAGTTATTTATTAGCTTCGTACTCTCATCTATTGAAAATGATGACCGTTCTGCTCAAAGGGTTGTAGAAATAGTGCTGACAGACATTGTTTCCATAGATTATTCTCTGTCATACATTTGTAACCTGATATCTATAGATTCCCTTGTTACTCTAGCTTAAGACCTATATTTCTGCTTGCCTACGCCCATAAACATACACCGACTAAAAAACCAAATTCGATATGTACAGATAGGTAACTTGTTCGAAAAAACAGATTTGTACATAATCTCTTTTGAAATATAGATGTACGATAATTTTCGGTATCATCAAGACCTTTTGATACTATAAATTCATAATGATAAGCATTTCTAAAAGAATAAAGTATGCAAGTATTATCAGCTTATATTAAACCGTTTAAAAACAAGCCGACAGATTAAGAATAACCATTGTTTCAAACACTTTACAAATAGAAGTTACACATTTTGAGATGTGGTTCGATTAAATGCTACAGACTTCCCGTTTGTCACAGACTAGACCTCAATCTATATTACACCTATTCAAGCATGTCGACGTAAGTCCATAAAAACATAAACAATAATAAACTTTGACACTAGGACCCTAACGATGACGGCGCATGTCTACTACATACTTAAGTATTGCCAAAATCCAATGAGGATTATTTCTCTGTCCTGTGCAGAAGTACTATGACACCAAAACTCAAAGGTTACCATGCTATGTGTCTGGTCAGTGTGTAGGCCTCACTTGATTTGCAATCTGTGAAATTAGTTACAAAGGTCACATGCTTTAGTAATAACATCGCGTGCTATCGGAAGGTTACTTCCGGCTCGGAAACAAACTCTCGCCTCCTAGTGATCATGGAGAGTATCGTCTAGTTTTCCTGTGTTATTCACTAATCGGCGTTTTGTATTGTCGACAGTAGGGTTAATCTATTGCCATTGAGGTTTTAAGTATGTCTAACCGATCAAATAGGTTTATTATCAACGTTTTTGTTGAGTTTGTGTTTCCGGGTAACATAGCAGTATAACATATAAAAGTGTGAACATCGCTGGAACGAAAGAATGAGGTTTATTATACACATTAACAATGCATTTTTACATATCAACAATGTCATTCAAAGCAACAAAGTTTTGTGTCGACATCAACAAAGTCCTGTGCTCATATCACAAGAAGTCTCGTATCCATAGCAACAATGCCTTGTATCCATTCCATAAAAAATACGTTTACATTGCAACGAAATCTCGTATCCATGTCAACAAAATCTCGTATCCATGTCAACTAATGTCTTGTATCCATTCCATATAAATAGTTACGTTTACATAACAATAAAGTCTTGTATCCATTCCATATAAATAGTTACGTTTACATAACAATAAAGTCTTGTATCAATATCAACAATGAATTGCATCCATAGCAACACAGTCTCGTGTCCATGTCAACAAAGTCTCGCATCCATAGCAACAAAGTCTCGCATCCATAACAACAAAGTTTCGTGTCAATTCCATATAAAAAGTCAGGGTGACATAGCAACAAAATCTCGTACCCATATCAACAAAGTCTCGTATCCATATCAACATAATCTCGGTTTCACACCCACGTAGTCTCGAACCCATGCTGGTCTAATCATGCATCCATAGCAACAAAGTCTCGTTTACATGTCAACTATGTTTTGTAACCATATAAACAATGTTTTTTATATGAATAATGTGTATTGTCGGAAGAAAAGTCTCGTGTGCAGGTAGCCACAGTCTCGTGCACAAACTTAATGTTTCACTTTAAGAATAAGGGTTAAAACACAGCAACAAAGACATGTAAAAGAAATAACGCCTTTAGCCTAGATAGACACGGACTCGACTCTTTCAATAAAAAATATAAACAGACAGAAGTCGTGATAATGCTATGATTTATGGGTACAGCCGTATGGTATAGAATATCATTGGTGCTGACAATATCTCTACGCCTATCTTTTACCTTGTTTTGTTTCAATCAATTTCCAGACAATAAAACAAACAATATTTTGTCTGCTTTACCAAGCATAAACGTCAATTCTCTTATTAAGTCTCTTCAACAAATAAACTTTATCGTTACACAAATCGCTATTTCCTGTTGTACCAATTCAACACACGCCAGTACAAACTTGTCATTTTCAGTGATCATTTCCCTCCCCGGTATTACCACACATACGAAGTCGTTTACTATCTTAGGCACAGAAATACTTCGATACCTCGAGCATCTACATGAAACTAAAGTTCTGAAAGAGACAAAGTCTCAAAGTATACAAAGATGAAGGCATCCATTTTTTCCACTCATGTTAAACATATTTTTTTCTTGTTTTTTTTTTTTTGTTTTTTGTTTTCGTTTCAAGCACAGTCTTTGCCCCAACTAGTTGTAACAGTTCAATAGACGATTTTTTTCATTGCGTTTCTAACATGGATGTGTGTAACTCCATTTTACTTAGGTCATTTCGTTCACTGTTCACTTGACAAAACTGCCCAACGCTTGCCTCGAGCACAAGGTCCGTTTCACAAAGCGATGGTCAAAATGATATTGTCAACTAATTAGCACAGTTCAGTTGCTTCAGAAACGACAACTCCACGTGAGTGACCACTTATTTCACAACCACTTGGTCTGCATTCAACATTCTTGAAAGTACTTTCACATCCTGCTTTGTCATAGTATATGTCAGCCCCGCCTCCAATACATACACACACGCACCTTACCCATCTATCTACTACGAAGGTCGTTATCTACAGACGTCAGTTTCTACAAACGTCCATGTCTGCTGCAAACGTCGACATCTTCCACGAACGCAAAACCGTCATTTGGGATGTAAAAATGCATAACAGCCTCGCGAGAAATGTCAATATAAAACATGTCAAAAAATGTTCATAAATCACCTCCAAATGTGACCTTATAAAAGGAAAAATGACTCCAGAAATTACGATATTCGGTTAATTCGATATCGAAATGTCGATATAAACCCATGTTAAATTTCTACATTCACCATAGTAATCGTTGTCAATGGTTTATCGATGGTCAAAGCAGTCGATACGGCAGGACGAACGGACTGGTAAACAGATTATATACATCAATGTTTCTCTCAAGGACTTAAAATTATCATAATGAAGCGGAGCAGAATGGACGAAGAACACGTTTCATCCTTTGCCAGGCAACATAGAAGATCTGAAGCTAGTCTTTACATGGTACACATTGTTGGGGGTCCTGGACATCTCCCACTGTAAACGGTTCTGATCAATACGCTATGGTCGTGTACAAAATCGATGCCTGACGATCGATGTACACAAATAGGTTGCCAGATCATTGGCCGAAGGACCAATCCGGAACTAACGAGACGTTCGACGGTTTTGATTATTACATAGGGCGATGATCACCATTATCATTCAAAAGGGGAAAATATACATGTTCAACGTTTTTGTTTTCTTCAAACCTTTGCGAATTCATTATCATTATTGTTATTTTTCCTTTTCTGTAAATAATGCCGGGAATAATGTTACGTCACATGTGAATTGAGCAAGCGCCATCTACCTACCGTGTGACACCCGATCTTAAATCTTGAATAACAAATGTAACGACAGATTTGGCACGTACACACACACACACACAAACACACACACACTTACACAAACCCACAAGTATGACGGCAGATACAGCCTGATGCTGGGTTGATGGTTCAACAATCATTTCTCTACAGTGTAGCTGATCGATCGACAGAAAATTGAATGGAGCCTCCGAATTGTCGTCTGCTTACGACCGTATTTAGCTTCATCTTTTCCACTTTAACCATATACTAAATATTTATTCATCACTGCATTACCCCTATTACAGTTCTGTTCAGAATAGAACACTATAAACACCATTGGCCTCCATGTTGAATTTCTTAACGTTCTGCCGCAAAACCGTTATAATTTATGAAAATAGCTGACGATCGCCATTCTGTCAATATGGCGGCGGACATAGCAGTGTGCATAGACTCAATCTGGAGTCGGATAATCTGTAGTTATTATTTGTAGTTGAAATCAAGCGAAACCAATAAAAATGTGATAAATGAAGTCGGACACATATGGGAAAACTATTTAGCTGGCTGTTTAACCCGGGGCGCCGTCAGATATCTACATCACAAATAATTTCCTCAGTAGCGAGACGCAAGTTACATTTCTCACGGGCGTCTCTGAATTTAGATTTTAAACAACTACACCGGCGAGTAGGTGTATTGTATAAAAACTGTTGTATCCGACACAGTTGAATGATTAGTAATACTTGTGAAATAGTAAATAGGACAAGTGGATGTTATCTCTGGTTATTCCGGTTTGAGTTTGTTTGTATGACGGGTAAAAATGTCTGTATAGTGTTTACATGTTTAGAAAAGATTATGCACATGAGGCCGGGAGGAGGGACGTGTTTGCGCGTGTGCTAGGAAGGAGTGTAGAGATGAGGGGGGTAATATAAACAACGGGTTAACTTATTTACAGGCAATATCGTATTGGAGGCTGGTTTGTGTAGATGCATGATTCAATTTCACCACGCTGTTTCAATGTGCATCAAATAATTATCCTTTTTATGTCTAACAAAACAAGCCTATTACATCTTATACACACACACACATATATATATATATACATTAACTTACTTCATTTGCTTCACTATAGTACTTTTTCCTGATTCACCAGCTCCTACAACATAAAGATTAAAATTTTAATTTCCCGATAATACATAATTAAATCGTACCAGCTACCAGAGTATTTACACAGAATCGAGTAGAACATTATAAGCGATTGATCCGCATAAATTAATGTAACCTCACTACCAGTCGGTATGGAAGACTCTACACCGATACTTACACATCCAATCCACACAAAAGATTTACAACCCTAGCCCTCGACAGCTTTCTGGTCTCAGTTGTCCCATAATGGAACAAGGGGTCACCTCCCTGAATTAATCGCTCAAAAGAAATTCATTCATTCAGTAACGCTGTCACCCGGCACTGCTAATTTTGCCTAATTAACATAGCAGCGTTCAACACACCTGTCTGAGCAGACTAGCCGCACCCGACAGCAAAGTCGGACACGCCTAAGCTACGTCATTTAACTGCCGGCAATACCACCCGAATACCCCTACTAACATATCACTCATCTTAGTCAAACATTTCTTTAATTATTCAGTTTCCAAACGATTCAATATGGCGGCCATTGCATGCATAAAATCAGTTTCTAAAAACGTTAGCGGTCGAGGTTTTCCTACATCATTGTATCACAGGCAATCCGTGTTACAGATCAATAGAGCTATGCAAAAACGTCTTACCTAGTAGTAGTAATTTTATATCTTTAGCAGCTTGTATTCCGTCCTCTTTGAGCTTTTTTTCAATGTCTCTACTCCGCTCGGCAGCGGCTCTATCCTCTGCACTCATAGTACACCCCATGTTTGATAAGACCGGGTTTGTTGTGATCCACCAGACTGCCGCTACTGTGTTGGTATCCCACCACCTCCGTAGGATGTCGTGTGTACCCCGATCTTCACCAGAGATCCAACCCACAACCACAACAAAATCCGTGGCTACACTGCGAACGATACACACTTCCTATAAACGATCCCTCGCTCGTCTTGGTAGAATCTTTCTGCATAAAAAGCGAATTCCCGATGCCGGTTTCGAGAAGACAGCGAGATACACGTAGCACAGTGGTGAAGATCTTGTCAGTGCCGTATGTCAGCCTTCAGTTACATCGAGGCGGTTCCTTTTCCTTCCTCTATCGGTATCAACTGACATTGAAGATAGGGATGTATTATTTCAAACGCATATCTCCACAGGATAGAATCATAGGTGTTTTTCAGTCCACATATTACATTATATTCTCGATAACATGAAGGCCTGAGCGACGTCGCGTCTAACAAAGGATACTTAAATATTCAGCTTCACAATCGATAGCTCGATAGTTATTGCTATTCTATTCTCCACTGTTACGGGGGTTACTGGATGACGTCACTCTACGCACGGGCTTTTTAATACATTAATCCAGTGCATGCTCGCCTCAGAAATTATGAAAATCACGTTGTGTACAATATTACCCACAAAATACGTTATCTAAGTAACTATGGCGGTTTAGATTGACACAATCACAAGACATCAGACATTAGAACAATGAAATAGACCAACATCCGCAACTGTGAGCGAGATTCAGCAGCATTCAATGATGCTTCTTTAAATAGACTTAGCTCGTAGGGGAAATGGGCGGTGTCGCCTCAACATCCGCGTTGTAGAGCTAGCCGCGAATACACATTCCAAGCAAGAGTACATAAAAATATGACAGTCTCAAAGATAATGAATTCTTTACCACAGATTAAAACTTTATAATAAATGAAGTGATTAATGAGCGTATCTGTGACTGTTTGTTTTATTTTACCGCGAGAAGTTGATGATAATGATGCAGTTGCCGTGCAGCAACAAAGCGCGCCACCTGCCGGTATCCAATGACCCGCGTCAGTAGATACATAATGAAGTTTCATCAGTACGTGCTTAATTCAGCACACCTTGAAACTAGCCACTAAAAACACGGCAAGTTTATAGTATAGGGAAATGGTGATAACGTTTTGTTTACTATGTTAACCAATTAAATGCATTTGTGAATTTTTATGTGTTTAATTTTATTAAATCTGTAACATACTTAAATTTACCCACATTCATAGTTTGAAGAAGTTAAAAGTGAAAAAGGTATAAGATAGTAAAACACGAGTTAAGTTCAGAACTCTTAAAGAAAAATATATGTTAACCATAGTTAAAAGTATCACAGGATATGTTATACAAAAGTTATAGAAGCGAAAATTAAGATATGCAATATAATTTATATATTGTTTCAAAGGAGATCATATCGATTATAGATATACAAAACAATAGATATATAAATCATCTACTGTATTTTAACTTGTAGAATAGTCCAGATAAAGCACAGAATATATATGTTATCTGCTGTTTTCGTCAGGAAGGAGTAACACAGATAAAGCACGTACTAACTCCCGTATCTACTACTGTTCCTTTAACAGGTAAACTTTTAACATTCTGGACAGGAAAGGCTAACTTAGGCAAAATGCTGAATATATAAAAGATTTGTTATTGTTTAACAGAAGCGAAACACTGAATACATATCTTATCTTCTGATAAACAGATAAAACATTTAACACTGGATACTTCCGTATTGTCAGAAAAACGTACCAAAGGTAAAATACTCGATATATAAGTGATCTATGGGTCTTTAACAGGTAAAACATTGACCATTGTTGTCAGGAAAGAGTGACAAACACTTATTAAACATTAAACCTACTGTAGTTTTAACAGGTAAAACACTTAACACTGGTGTCTGGAAAGAGTGGGCCAGGTTAAACACCGAAAATGTATCTAATTTAGTGCTGTTAAGCCGGTAAAACATTCAATACTGTTGTCAGGAAAGAGAGGGCCAGGTAAAACACCGAATATGTATCTAATTTAGTGCTGTTTAGCAGGTAAAACATTTAAGACTGTTGTCAGGAAAGAGAGGGCCAGGTAAAACACCGAATATGTATCTAATTCAGTGCTGTTTAGCAGGTAAAACATTTAAGACTGTTGTCAGGAAAGAGAGGGCCAGGTAAAACACCGAATATGTATCTAATTTAGTGCTGTTTAGCAGGTAAAACAACACGGTTATCAGGAAAGAGTGAGTAAGGTAAACACTTAATAAACATCAAATCTACTGTTGTTTTAACAGGTAAAACGTTTAAGACTGTTGTCAGGGAAGAGTAACTCGGGCAAAACACCGAATATGTATCTAATTTAATGCTGTTTAGCAGGGAAAATATTTAACACGATTGTTAGGAAAGATTAACTCAGGTAAAACACTGAATATGTATCTAATTTAGTGCTGATTAGCAGGTAAAACAGTTAACACTGTTGTCAGGAAAGAGTAACCCAAGAAAAGCATGAATATTTATTCTATATACTGTTGTTTTAACAGGTAAAACATATAATTTAACATTGCTTTCAAGGAAAAGCAGCCCAGGTTAAACGCTGAATTTTTATCTAATCTACTGTTATTTCAACAAGTGAAATATATAACACGGTATTCACTAAAGAGTAACCCAGATAAAGCGCTAAATATTTTAACTAATCTAGGTTATTTGACAGGTCAAACATTAAACTGTTGTCAGGAAAGATATATCCATATATATCGATTGTGTATCCTGATGTTTGTCTTATATTTTAAACCGTTTACCTGATATTTTTCACACTACAATTCTTTGTTTTTATATACAAATGCATCATATTGACTTCATATCCATATATAATTACTTAGAACACGTTTACTGGGTAGAAATGACACACAACAATAATGGCACTTTTAATACAAATCTTTAGATACAGCATTGTCAGACACAAATTAAATTAGACAAGAATGCAAGTGATTAACTGCATCATATAGCTAGGCATTGATTTCATCATCATACAACGCTTACCTTCTCTCTTACTGGCAACAATAGAACAAAAAATATATAATACAAATGTAGGTTTGATACACACAACTACTCACTCTTATTCATCTTCTTAACTATGTCTTTCTAATTTTTCAAGTTTTTTTCTATCATCAAATACGTTGGGGAGTTTGAGGTTTGTGATGCTGAAAATGCCACCCCACCATTAATTATTGTTGAGGCTCCACTGCAATATCAGGATATGAATATGTAATTCAGTACACTTGTAATTCGGTCAGCCAAATAATAAATATTGTAAATACACCATAAAAACAACAATGAATTACCAACATATAAACATAATCATAATCCAGTTTCCAAGTCTGGCATTATGGGTGAAGAGGAAATATTTACACGGACACCCCAGAAAATTACAAACAAAATAAGACCAGATGTTCCGGAAAAGTCAGCGTCTTCTATATCATCGATGATACCCGTCCTGTAAATCTTAGTCAATCAAAATAAGTAATGTCACGTTCTCAGCATCAAATATGTCCATCTTCATATCGCACAAAGAAATAGAATAGTTCTCAATGAGTTCACAATGACGGCAGTAAAACGTCAATTGACGACATCTTGCACATAAATCAGGATAATGGTAACAGGTCCTTGAATATCTTTTCAACTACGACATGTAAAAGCTATCTATCGGGGTGGCAAGATGTTGCAATCCAGAAATGAAAAATTCGCAATATGGAAACACACATCTTGGTGGAAAGCTGTCCATGTTGGTTTCGTTGTTCGAAAAGATCGAGATAAGCAGCTGATGTTGCAAATTACTAGTAAGTTGTCATAAGAATTCACCATCATTGTAACTTGTCAGTCATTTTTACAATACAACTGAATAGTACTTTTTATCATTTTTATTACCCATAGAAAAACATTCAGGCTCCAAATCGCGATTTTTGTTCCTACGAGAAAGCCCTTAAACCAGTGTACAATTTGAAGAATAACAATTGAAGACAATTGTGACTGACTTGATTTTTTTTTCATTTTCTATAAGAGGATGGATTTATTGAAAAATTAACTTCATGTCTTGATAATCTTAAATAACAACAAATATATTGATAATTCCTATTGTGTATAAACCTATCAGAATCTAAAAGCAAACTCGATCTTTATTTGTGACAACATTCCAGTAAGGCGAGACTTTAGATTCGCCTATGATGAACCTTCTTTTACCCAACATCGTGTTTCCCCAAACAAAGGTATAAAAAAGGCTTCTTCGTTATTTCCGTGATGTCGGCGGCAGTTGCTCAAATGCTAGACGGAGATAAGTATTTAATGAAACATTTAAATCATGAACGAAACAAAATTAAGAGCACGATTTATTATTTATAGCTATAGGTTAGTTAAAACAGGTCAGATTGATATACTTTGGTAGAACTCCCTCTACCCTCTGAATTTTAACAAGGTCACCCTGAGGAACATACAATAAAGTGGGTGTTATTTTCTTATCTTTAAGTGGTATATCATTAAACTAGTAAAATAATGATGTTGTTAATTCAAATACTGACTGTCACAAGTCGAATTAACGACACCAACATTAAAAGGTATCACATGATTCCGCTGATTCGAATAAACATTATCATTAACTTTAATAGATAAATAAAGTGATAACATGGTATAATGAATTCAAATAAGTGATTATAATTTTTGAAGATTAATTAAAAAACTAATATCAATATATCATCACGTGATATTTTACTGAAGATATTTTTAAATGTCTGAACCGTTGCGAGAGCCCTGTTTGTAGTTTTCGACCTGAAGAATATTTCAAAGGAAGTAATGTTTGCCAATCAGTGCATTATTAACTCTTCACATTTCAGTTTTTCACAGAGATCAAGGTACCGGAAACTTACCCAATGTTTACGTTATTGTCGTAAATAAGCGGAGAATAAATAAATGCAACAGTGCATTGTAAAACATTCAAGTATAAATCCATTTAAATGTCGATAATTTTTTTCTGAAATACAACAGGATGTGTATTTTGTCCATTTCCATTTATCACGAGAACTCGGCAGATCTCAGATTTCAAATGTAGGTTCCCCTTGATCCCTAGTTTTGCTACTTTGAATTTGAGACCGATTTTTGTCATTTTTGTTTGCTTTAAAACTGTACCAGGGAATAGGGAAAGGAAAGCTGAAGTTAATCATCAACTTAAAAGGAAGTTGACAAACTGATGATAGAGTTCTACTATATACATTATAGAACGACAACGCTGCATCTGAAAAGATCATAAATTCATTCTTTTGTTCATATTTTGTCCTAGTTTGATTTGAGATTGAAATATGGTTATTTTTATTGGTATTTTTTTGTGTTTATTGAATTTTGCACGGGGATTATATTCCAATGGTACTTGATACCGTTTTACTATTTCAACTATATATGCTTCAAACGTGAAAGTATATTTCATTGTACAACAGATAGATATAAGACAATGTCAATGTCAAATCGATAGCCGTGTCGCTGTGATAAGTGAATAGAGAACTGTTCAATGCCGTCTGTTTGGCGGTTCAGTTATGTAAATCCGGTATCATTTTGATACAGTAACATCACGTAAATTGACCCAGACAATAGCAGTGTCATCAATGAAGACGCTTATGCTCCTGTCACGCCGCATTTTACTCTACAGATAATTTGTAAAGGTTGAATATTTACATCGTTTGATATATTGCTATATATATTTCACTGA